ACAATTCCAGCCTTGCAGGTGCAAGGTCCTGAGTTCAATCCCTGGTATTGAAAAAAACAAAACAGACCAAAACAAAACAAAACAAAAGACTCCAATTCTCTGTAAGCCTTGAAAATTGTTAGGAATTATAAATTCTAGCAACATTGAATTAGTAAAGATCATACTTATTTTAAAATTTAGTTCCATTACTGTCAAGTACAGGCCTCCCTATGATCCTGAAGGGAAAATACTTAGCTCTTAATAGTAAATTCCAGTAATACAGTTTTAAACCTGCACAAGGTCCAGGGTTTGATCCCCAGCACCATCCAAAGAGTCCCCCTAAAATTAAGCACCAATGATAATAAAGAACAATTTAAAACTTGCTTATTAAAACAGGATTTATCGGGCCGGGGGGCCGGGGATTTAGCTCAGTGGTTCCAACGTCTGCCTCGCAAGCGCAAGGACCAGAGTTGGATTCTGGTACCAACCAACCAACCAACAAACAACCAACCCCAGGATTTATCATAGTAGTTATTAGGTAAAAAAAAATAATAATAATAAAAATCCCCAAATGAATTATAGGATCTGGGGGAACTAAGTGACTAATAACATAACTTTAATGGTCTAATTACTGACATTGCTGATAAACTTTTTTTTTATGATGTCTTAAGAGTTTGTCTGAAACTTTTCAAGTGTGCAACTTGAAAAGGCAAAAACAATGTCTGAACCTAATTCTTTCACATATTTCTTTCCCCGCCCTCCCTTCCCTTTTTATTGAGACAGGGTCTTGGTTCACAGTTCTGGCTTAGTGCAGGCCAGACTTGAACTCACTACGTAGCTCAATCTGGCCTCAAACTTCTGAACTTCTTGCCTCAGCTTCTGGAGTGCTGGGATTACAGGTGTGTACACCATCCTCAGCTTCACGTATTTCTTAAGACATTCTAAATAAAAAGAGCAAAAGATTACTATAACCAAGAATCACCTTCAGTAAACAACTTTTTAAAAGTAAATGTAACTCAACTCTTACTGCTAGAAAAATCAGTATTTTGCAAGCACTACTGTAATACTGATTCTGGCAAAGATCATAAATAGATGATAATTTCTCTCAGATTAAAGAATGTTGCTGAACAAGACATTTTTTGGTTATCAATAACTTAATTTCAAAGGGTATGTTTACAACCCACAGACTCTACCTGTAACCAAGTGACCAAATTTCACATCACCAATAATCAGACAGGCTAACATTTCATATGTCCTGATGAAAAGGATTGGAGGAATATTACCTATCCTATATTCTTCCAAAAATGTTTAGTCTGAATCTAACCATAAGTACAGTGTGGACTATTCTATAAGAGAGCTAACTTAAACTCTTCAAAAATATTGGTATTATGAAAGAAAACACTGGGAAAATTACAGAAGACTAGAGAGATATGGAAGTGTTATATTCAACTATATTCTGGATTTTAAAAAATTATGAAGAATATTTATAGAACTGAAGACACTTGGTATGAATATGGTTAATACATTACATTATGTTTTATCCATGTTAAATTTCTTACGTGTGATAAACACACTGGAAAGGGGAACAAAGGAAGGGGAAAAGGGGAGAAGAACAAAGAGCAAGCAAGCTAATAAATGTTCCAAAATGTTAAATGGTGAGCCAGAAGGTTGCATAGACATTCATTATATGATCTTTACACTCCTATGTTACAAAAAAACATTTTCTAGCAGGCCTCTTTTGCTTTTCTTTTTTTGCAGTGAAGTTCTATACTTAATATATATATAGATAGATATGTATGTATGTATTTTTGTTGAGACAGGGTCTACTTCTGTAATGCAGACTGGTCTTGAACCTGCCTTTCTCCTGCCTCAGCCTCCTGAGTGCTGGGATTACAGGCGTGCATCACTACAGCTGTGTTATGTTTCAAGAATTTAAACCATCTTTGATTTTTCTTTTACAATACAGCGTTGGGAATTGAACACGGGGCCTCATGCATGCTAGGCATGTGCTTTACCACTGAGCTACATTCCCAATCCAGGACTCATGTTTTCATGGTATTATTGGGGGAGGAGGGAAGAGAAACTTATATAATAAAATACTATATATTACATTCTCTTTGAAATAAATTTGGGGTAAAAATCCCTCACTCACTCTGAAGTATAAAGAACAGGATGCAGAAGAAATTGTTCTGTTAAAGGAAGATTCTTCCTACTATACCATGCCAAGCAGTGTGGGTTTCTGGCTCTCCTTCTGCAACCCCTTCTTTTTTGCTTACTAAGCCAGTCACTTAGGTTGTGTTCTGGAGTAGAGATACCGCTGAGAGCCCAAAGGCGGGCCCAAAGCCCAAAGGATTTGAACCCTGGAAGTTTTTCCTAGTTCCTTTAAGATTCTGCTGTTTTTACTGAATGATATTAAAAGGAAGTCATGATATTAAAAGGTAGTAAATAGGATATTAATTATATTAAAAGTAAGAAATTTACTTCCTATAGTGTATTTTATTTTCTTTTTCAGAGCGCTGGAGATGGAACTCAAGGGCTGGCACATGCTAGGTATTCACTAACACTGAGCTAGACGACCAGCCATTTGTGGTCTATTTTAATTTTCAGGCGAATGACTCACTCAATAAAAACACAGATTCCCAAGAAATTTCAATAAATAAAAGTAAAAAACTATTGAGTTTTGGCTTAGTGAAGAGGCTTCTATTTATTTGTTTTTTGGGGGGTTTTTTTGGTACTGGGGATCGAACTGGGGTCCTTGTGCTTGCACAGCAGGCGGTGAAACCACTGAGCTAAATCCCTGGCCCTTCTATTTATAATCTACCACATATCTTTAGTAAAATGTTTTCTTTGACTCATGAAATAACACAGATATTTTGTTAGAAAGCACCTCAGAAATGAAGTGACATTATCTGACTGTTTTACTGTAAACTGGCTGGTAGTAACCAGTTAATCAGATTCTTTATCACCTATCTCTTTTCATACATTACTTGGAAATGGCCTAAACATGAATACGGTCTAAGCTGCTGGCTCGTTTGTTTTTATTGGATTTGATTTGTTGCACAGATGGGTAACACAAAGAAAGGATTATATTCTGTCAGGTATATTCCTTTTGCATTGTGATCTATGAAGTTCATTCCTAGACTGTTTTTTTTCCTCCCTATTGTAATAAGTTTCTTGATATATTATGACTTATACTCATGTCATGTAGCACTTTTTTCTTTCTTATTCTGGTGCTGGGAACTGAATCCCAGTCCTTGTGTAATCAAAGTATACACTCTACTACTGAGCAATACCTCCAGGCATATAGCATTTTAAACATCTACTATGCCTGAGATTTTCACCTATTATGACTTAAGTGTTTCCATTCTGTTTAATATGTATGTATAGTTACACTAAAAAACAAAATGTATTCAGTGCTTGACTACTGATCATCCAACATTAACACTATTATACTTTATTTGCTACCAACATGTCATAAAAATGTCTTATGTTGTATGCTAGTTAATAAGCAGTGAAAATATAAACTTAATTAGTTTTCATGACAGTAACCTCCAAGGAGGTATTTTAGAGTTGAAAAGACAGATATATAAATAGATTGGTTAAGTCCAGGGTAGTCTGTTAGAACCAAAATGTGAGACTGGATTTAAATTAAACAGCCTGTACTCTTATTATTATACTATTCTGTCTCTGTAGAAATCAAGGCTAAACAAATACTGGCTCAATGTATGAAAAGCCTTTTTAAAAATATGAGAACTTAGGCCAGGGATTTAGCTCAGTGGTTCTGCCACCTGCCTCGCAAGCTCAAGGACCCAAGTTCGATCCCCTGTACCATAAAAAAAAAGAAAGAAAAAAGAGAACTTAAAGTGAAAAAATCTAAATCAGGAAGGATTAAATCAAGCACCAGAGAATATAAATTTAAAAGCACTTATCCATTATCTGTTAATTTTAATTCTGAAGAAAAATTCAATTTGTGATAATCTGATGTCAAGGTCTACTCAACATAATTCTTGTGAATCAAAGTTGAGATTAACAAGTCAAAGAGATTAAGAATGTACACTGGGGGGCCAAGGATTCAGCTCAGTGGTTCCATCGCAGGTATTTAGCACAGTGGCACCATGCCTGCCTCGCAAGCGCAAGGTCCGGAGTTCAATCCCTCATACAAAAAAAAAAGAATGTACACTGGGAGATTCTCACAGTAATCTAGATATAAAGTTAAAACGATTGAGGTTAGAGTGTTAGCTGGGAAAGAAAAATGAAGACAGTGGAGAGACAAAGCAAAACGATAATCTAAACATTTTAAAATTTGAATAAGTAAAAGAATGTTGATGCTACTAGAAATAGAAAGTTTGGCATGAGAAATTGGTAGAAGGGAATAAAAATCACTAATTTCTTGTCTACTCCTGCCTTCTACCTACCAAAATCAAGCAAATGTTACTACTTAAACTAATGAACCCCCAAACATCCTTTTTATGTCAACATATCACGGAGGGAAGGTTCTAGAGTGGTGAGAATGGACTGAGATATTTCCCATTTAGAAGAATTCACTGAACATTCCATAACCAAATAGTATGCAAAGTTCCAGCTGCAGAGCCTTAGATAATTACAGAAGTAAGGTCGTTAAATTAGGGTAACAAGAAATGTTTCGCAGGCAGGAAACAAAATTAGTCATGAGTATAAGAAGATTCATGAGTTTCCCAACTAAGTATCTAAAACCAAATAGGACAAAAAAATGGACCTAAAGGATCTTACAACATATACTATTTAAAAAATATTACTGTGGGGGAATGGGAAAAAAGAGGTAGGATGTATTATGTGCAAGTGCAAATTCCCTATGATGAGTGTTATCAGTATGTATGTCTAAAATGTACCAATAAATGTTTTGCTATATTAAAAAAAAAGAAAAAAATATTGCTAGACTCCAACTCCACCGTCAACACCCTAATAAAAGCAACCATTATTTCCTGGCTGATTTTCTCAAGGTTTCTTTCGGGTTTCCAGTCTTTAAAATGATCTTGCTCCTTTCTAATTTATTTTTTATTTTTAGATGCAACTCTCTTTATTTCAGATCAGCTCTTTACATTCAAAGCCATACTCATCTCAAGCCTGAATTTATAGCTAGAAACTCAGATTTCTCTTTCTGATGCTTTCTAAGACCCAAGTCTACCAAAGTCACTTTAACTCAAAGATTCTTCAAGTTTGCTGTCTGACCTGTCTTTTTCTCATTTATGCTGAAACAAAGGTCCCGTGTTCCTGATGCCCAACACAAGCATAGGATATTTGAATCCAACTAGATAGTGATACAAGTAGGCCATGGAGCAGGGTGCAGATAATAGACTCTATAGTTACAACAGCACACAGTGAGCAACACAAAACCAGACTATCCTGCGATGGTTTAATGGCTGCACCATCCTCCTCAGCCCACCCTGAAACTGGTCCAGTCTCAGCCAGCAGACATTCAGGGATAAAGTTCCTCAGTATGGCACAGCAGGCTCTCCAGGGTGGCTATGGACATGGAGTTCCTCATATAGCTGAAGGTAGTGAGCTGGGAGCATCGGTTCAAGGTAGGCAGAAAGGCACAGAGCTAGGCATCTGTGATCACACAGGCCTGTGCATCCACAGCAGGCACTGGCTCACGAAGGGGAGAGTTTATATAATACCTTCTGCAGATGGTGAAGCTTACAAAATTGTCAAGTGATACGGGTGAGGAACTGCTCTAGCTCCTTTGAGGAAAGGAACTCAGGCACACAGAAGTCAGAGATGATTAGTGTATGAAGATTTTTCATCTCAACCAGGTAAGGAGCCAAAAAAGCCAGGGTACAGAGTGTCCAGCAGTGACCCAGATCTGCCACCTGCACCGAATCAAGGTTCAGGATTTTCATCATCTCTATGATACTTTGAATGTCTGTTGCTTTAATGAACAGCTTTGGACAATCCAACTGCACCAGACCTTTTCTCTGCTGGACCCACTTGAGGAGGTAGGATCGGAATAGATACAGACATTCATGACTGAGCTCCAGGTCTACAATCACGGTGAGGGGCTGCTTTTCTGCTGCCCTTGGCACACTCTTCTCTGTGTTTCTCCTCTTCACGGCTTCTGAGAAGGAATAGGCTTCCAACTTGTTTCCAGCCCCAGACTCTCCAGAAGTTGTTATGCTTGTCCCGCATATCTAGCACTTGCAGTTTCAACCTCCTGGAGCAAATTTTCTGGCTCAGCAGCACATCAATCCTTGTAAAATCCTTTTTTCCATCTCCATAACATCCACCTCAGCATCGGAAGTCTGGAGAATCCTCATGTTCATCAGTGCTCCTAGGGGCAAGGAGGGAAAGGGCCAGGACAGCACCATGGCCTTCAGGGCCTCAGTATGTCCCCTGGTGAAGGCCTCCATGAACACTGGTGAGAAGAGCTCCCTGGCAAATCTTCCACAGCCCTCATGGCCAAGTCCTTGTCCTTCAGCAAGTTGTGAATTGCCAGTCTCAGTAGTGTGAGTGGGGGCTGGGTGCTCATCCGGGTGAATGTGCAAGGCCAAGAGTTCAGGGGGAGTAGATTGTCCTTATCCTCAAGAGCTCCCAGGAAACCAGGCAGAGTCCGGGCTCCAGCTCTAATTTATTTTTTATATTGCAGACAGTCCACAGTAAAATATAAACATTATTAGAGAAATATGGTAAGTGATATCTATGTTTGTTTCTATATGTACACATCTCTCTATATTTAAAAATCTTGATATTAAAAATCTTGACTTCATATGGATATCTCTAGCCCCAAAGAACAGTTTAGTTCTAGTCTTTGCCTTTATTTATTTATTTATTTCTTTTGGCACCGGGGATCGAACTTGGGACCTTATGCTTGCAAGGCAGGAGGCAAAACCACTGAGCTAAAAATCCCTGGCCAACTTCTTTATACAATAGTCCAACACTAAGAAATTTGACTTTCATTACCTGAAAAACATTCACAGATTTGTTCAATTCAAATAAGTATACACAAAAAGCAGTTTCAGAATCCTAATCAATACCTTGAGAGAAACAATTTACTACCTGGAGTTCAACTTTTTGAATTTAGCCTTAGAGCATATAATAAACGTACTGTTTTCAAGTTATTTCTCACTCAAGTTAGTGTGGTTGTTATTCGTCTGTACTATAGTAAGGTTCATTGGCTAGTGTTTATACTTCGTTTTGGAGTCTCTTCTTTCTACTCGCCAACCATCAGGTTCATTGTATTTATTTTTGGAAGCTACATGAAAAGTTATCAAGGTTCTAAAGGGGTTATAAGTATATCTGAATATTTCATTTCTCTTACCCCTACTGTTCTCCCCGATTCTCACTGATTCTTTGGAAGGAACCAATTTGCTTATCTTCTGGTTTATCTTCCTGTTTCTTTTACACAAATACATGTGTCTTCTACATATACATATGCAAGTATTTCCCATCTTACATGAAAAGAAGCATACTACAGGGCCGGGGATTTAGCTCACTGGTTTCACCACCGGCTGCGCAAGTGCAAGGACTGGAGTTTGATTCCCAGTACCGGAAAAAAAAAAAAAAAAAGAAGCACACCACAGACATTTGTATTTTATCACACATAATTGCAACATAATACTTCCCTGGAACTTCCTTCTTATAGTGGCAACAATACTCTATTAGATGGCTACACTATTGTTTACTCAATCATTCTTCTGTCTGGGAATTTAGACATATTTCACAATTGCAAACACTTCTAAAATTTAAAAAATTTATTAGAGTTGGGGCCGGGATTTAGCTCAGTGGTTTCGCCACCTGCTGTGCTAGCACAAGGACCTGAGTTCGATCCCTGGTACAAAAAAAAAAAAAATTTTATTAGAGCATTATCATGCTTTAAAAAAACAAAAGAGGACTTTGAGACTGCTTTAGAAAGTGGCAAAAACGATGGGATAAGTGCATTTGAAGTGAGGGGGAATATTTTGAGAGGAATGAATGACAATTTCTTTATACCGTAATAAATTGTTAAAATTTAAATAAATGCCATTATTATTTTTAAAAAATCATTTTCTTGTACATTTAAGGAAGTATTCCTAGAAGTGAGGTTGTTGGGTAAAAAGTGCATATGTAAAATTACAGTGGTTCATGAACTTAATTTGTTCTACGATTTTGGAGAAGGTGGCCATGTTTGTGTTTGTGTGGCAAAGATGGCCATGGTAGTGTCTGTCACTACCCAATGCAGAGTTTGCGAATCAAATAGTCTGCAAACAAAGTGTTCGTCAACCACGGTACTACTGTATCAGCTTTTGCTGTCCAGAAGGGCTAAGACAGTCTGCATTCCTACTGGCAATGTTATGAGGATGCTTATTTCCTAGTTTCACAACACAATATGCTGTCATTCTCACCAATATGATAGATGAGAAATAAATGGTATCTTGGTGCTATTTTAAATTGTGTTTCTCTGGTGAGCATAAACTTTTTTTTCATGTTTAAGGGGAATATTTACATTTTTTGTGAGTTGTCCACTCATCTCCTTCCCACATTTTTCTATCAAGTCTTTATTTTTCTATTGTATTTATAGTTTAATTACAGAAGGTTTGGGCTGGGGATTTAGCTCAGTGGTTCTGCTGTCTGCCTTGCAAGCACAAGGTCCCAAGTTTGATCCCTGGTACCAAAAAAAAAAAAAAAAAAAATTACAGGAGGTTCTTTATATATTAGTGATATTTACATTTTGTCCTTGGTATATATATTGAAAACATTTTCTCCTAGTTTGTCAGCTGTATTCCTTTTTCTTCATGGTAGTTTTTAATTATGTAAGATCTTCTTATTTTTATGTAATCAAATCTGCAAAGCTCTTCTATTACTGCTCTAGATTCCCATAATCAGAAAGTCTTTTCCATATTTGTATGGTATCCGAGCACTAATTAAATGTTTAGATTCTTATCCCTTTGGAGCTTATTCTTTCTTTTTCTGGTAACAATTTTAATGAGATATAATTCAGGTGTCACATACCGAATTCATCTTTATAAAATGTCTAATTGAGTGGGCTTTTTGTATACTCATATTGTTGTGCAGCCATCATCAAACTAAATTTTATTTTATTTACTTATTTTTACTTATTTAGTGGCTCCAGGAGAAGCAGCAACAGTACCCAGATTTCAGGCAACCCCTCAATCTCTGTTCAGGCTTCACTGCTAAAGATCCAATGGACCCCTCAATCACAGGGTCCATCCAGTGCCCTACCTCCTAGGTCTGCAGAAGGTTAGGTACCCATGGTGAGACTCCAGGGCCAGTGACTGATGGCAAACCTTTTATAGCTTTCAATGATAACAAACAGCCAGCTGTGGCACACATGCCAAAGGTTCCTTACCACAGCTCTAGGCTGTTCAACAGTAGCATCTAGCACAGCCCAGGCAGCTTGGTATGTGTGAACACAGCACTATACCAGAGCAGACATGAGTTGGTACAAAGTGATAGCTGGAATGGATCAGCTTCCCAGCACAGTTGTGCATAGATCGGGTTCATTTCTCAGTTGCTGCCGTCACTGATTATCACACACTCTACGATAAATTTTAGAACAGTTTCATCATTCCAAAAAAACCCCTAAACCGTTTAGCAATCACTCCCCTTTTCCCTAAAACTCCCTTATCATTTGGCAATTAGTCAACTACTTTCTGTCTCTACAAATTTGTCTATTATGAACACTTGATAGAAAAGGGATAATACAATCTATGGCCTTTTGCATGTTTCGAAGACTCATTCGGGTGGTAGCATAGATCAGTACCTTCTTTTATTTTTTCTTTTTTTCAGACAAGTCTTGCTATGTAACACAGGCTGACTTCACATACACAATGCTCCTGCCTCAGCCTGAGTAATAAATAAGATTACAGAAGTATAACTCTCAGTTTCATTCATTTATATTGCTGAATTGTATTCCTTTGTATGGATAAACATTTTGTTTATTCAGTTATTAAGGGATGGACATTTGAGCTATTCCCATTTTTGTGCTGTTTATTTTTGTGCATAGAGTGAGACATAGATATGATTTTACCTCTTTTCAAATAGCTACCTAGGCACTCCAGCACATTTATTAAAAAATCCATTGCAAAAAAAAAAAAAATCCATTGCAGTGATTTTAGGTACCATGTTTATATTTCATTGTACCTAGGTCTATTTCTGGGCTTTCTATTCTACTGCTCCATTAGTGTACAGTAAAACTTTCTAATACTGTATGCTTTTAGGCCCTATGCCAGTTTTTATTTTTCATTTTCTTCTTTATGACTATTCTTGTATGTTAGTTTTCCCATATACTATATCATTAATTTGTCTAACTTTATTTTGGTTATCTTTTTAATATTGACTCACCCTACCCAAGTCTGCTTTTGTGATTTTAAGTGTTAAACATTTTTCTCATCTAGGTTTTGTGCATCTCTTTAATATTTATTCCTAAGTAGTCTATTTAATATTCTTTGTTGCTATTATGAATGGCATTTGCCATTTAACTACTAACTGGTAATTGTATATATAGTATAAAGGTACTGATTTTTGTAAGTTAACTTTATATTCTGCTATCTTATCTGGATTCTTTTTGTTGCTTGAATTAGTTTTACACAAGATCTTCTAGGGTTTCTGAGCTATACTAGCACACAATTTGCAAATAGAGTATCATTTCTTTTTTTACTTATTCATATGCTTTAAATTGGTTCATCTGATTAATCAATACCACCCCATAAGTACGAATAATAGCAAAGCTTGTGAGTACTTGCCTTATTTCTGCATATTGAGAAAATTTCTCCCGAATTTCTTATTTTATATAAGACTTTTGGCTTTAGGACTGATACAGATAATTTAGCCTTTAAAAAAAAAAAAAGCACCTGGAGAAGAGATATCCTCTTTTAACAGTGCTATGAAAACTGGCTATTCACATGTAGAAGACTGAAGATTGAAGATCTCACCAGTACTAAACTAAAATAAAAATGGGCCAAAGATCTAAATCTTAAAACAGAAACACTTAATCTTCTGGAAGATTAAAAAAAAGCCAAAACTCTTGAAGAACAAAACCCAATTGCATAAGAAATAGCATCAAGAATCAACAAATGGGATTATATAAAATTAAAAAGCTTCTGTACAGCAAAGGAAATAAACAACAGAACGAAGAGACAATTTACAAAACAAATTTTTGCTAGCTCACACTGTGGACAAAGGACTAATGTCCAGAATACATAAAGAACTAAAAAATAATTAGACCCCCTCCAAAGGCCCAATCAAAAAACTGGCAACTGAAATGAATAGAAACTTCCCAGAAGTACAAATGGCTAACAGAAACACTAAATCTGCTGGCAGAGAGAATAGGTAGAACGCTTGAAAACATAGGAATAGGAAAAGACTTCATGAACAAAACACAGACTGCATGGGAAATACTACAAAGAATCAACAACTAGGAGCTCATCTTATTAAAAAGCTATTGCACAGCAAAAGAAACCACCAACAGAGTGAAGAGACAGCCCACAGCGTAGGGAAAATAATTTTCACCAGCTATACATCAGATAAAGGACTACTATCTAAATATGTTTTTGATTTTTTTTGGGTACAGGGATAGAACTCGGGTCCTTGCGCTTGCAGGGCAGGCAGTGGAACCACTGAGGTGAATCCCCAGCCCAGGACTGTTAGCTAGAA